TTATCATGAAAAATCTCAAATTGAAATATCAAACTTTTAGTTTGTAACGATTTAGTTAATATAATTTAAAAATTCATTTGGTCTCGAATGATTTTTTTAATCTACGTACACTAGAAACTCTCATTACAACCCAATGTGATTTTTCACAATGTGGACTAAATCATTACAAATTTCGAACTATAACTAAATTGTTGCAAAATTTAAAGCACAAAGACCTAAATTGTTAGGTATGAAATTCTATTAAATGGTTGCTTTAATGAGGTACGATAAAATGTGTTTTTCAACCATACGCATAGCTTTTTCTTTCTTTCTTTATATTTTTGTTCTAAGTTTGAAACAATGTTTATTACTCGGTTATACATCGAAATTGAGCATGAAAGTGTGAACTTTATTCCATAGAGTTGTTACATGTCATCCATTACTTTTTCTTTAATATCTTTTGAGACATGTTTTAGGGTCCATTTGATAATATTCTCAATTATTGTTTCTAGTTTTTTTTAGAAACATAAAAGTCCTCTAATGTTCTTTGTTTCTCATTTCATTTTCGTGTCTTTTGTTTCTATTTCCATTTTTTTCCAAAACATAAATAAAAATATTATTTTTATCATTACATATAAAATGCACATTAAATATTATAAAATAAATATAACATAAAAAGAATTTGAATATATAGTTTTCAATAACGTGGGTTGATTGTGAAAGTGAAATAGCTCAATAATAATTGGTATATGTAGTAGTGCCAAGTTTAGTTTATTTTTTAGTCACTATACTTTAAAAAACATTTAATTTTTGTTCGTGTACTTTAAAAAATGTGACCATCTTAGTCCAAATTTTAACAAGAGTTTTTCTTTTCTTTTCTTTTTTTTTTGACAGAAGATACGAAAAAACATTAACTCTAATTAAATGCAACTCATATCCGAAGCTTTGCCCTAAATCCTTTGGAGAGCTTGATTTATTCCCGCCTCATGAGCTACTTTGTTCCCATCTCTTCTACAACGAGAGAAACTGATCTTGTTCGAGAGGTAAACGATTTCTGAAACCAATAATCCTACTGAGGGATCCGTCTTCCTTGTTACCTTGAATACCATAGAAACTTACACACAAAAGAAACCTTTTAATACCACCTCATATTATCTCGTCTTAAATTCAAATCTCCATTCTTATGCTACTAGATATCTAAAAAGGAAAAATAACATGGTCCGAATTCGGATGCCAATATATCCTCATGTTGTTTGTTCAAAATATTCCTTCCTTCACTTTTACTTCCGTTCCATACGGAGATTCAAAACTACAACTTTAACAAAGACCGATCAAAGTATACTCGCATCGGTTCATAACATTCTATTCCAACTCCACATTACTACAAACAACAGAAGCAAGATGAATGTACCACAATATTCCGCTATTGACCCTCTCTTTTGGATCCAATCATTGCAACAAACTCATCCAAAGCCCTCAACGATGAGCCCTTCTCCCCTCCCTCTTCCTTCATCGCAGCTCTCATTTTGTCCTTAACAATGGCGGCATTCTTCCTCATCTCCTCCCCTTCCCCTTCCCCCATCACCATTTGTACAATCTTCTTCACTTC